TTATGGAAGAAGATTTTAATAAGATATCAATTAAATAAGTTATAACTCGTAATCTGTTGAACCAAAATAAACACATTATATACTTTTCTTGTAGAAAATTTAATCTTCTTCAATTTTATAATTTACTATAGTATACAAAAAGTTGATAGTTTTCGAGATATAATCAAAAAACCCAAAATGCGTACCTTTTTCCCCCCCTTTTTCCCCCCTCCACCCCCTGGCTCACCACATAGGAGTCAGGACTTTTGGTATGTTAACACCCTAAGCCCCCTGAACAAGTTTCTGAAGGAATCGCTTAGTTACCTGCTCACGCACTCTACACCTCATTCCTTGACTGGACTAATTCATTGGCCTTCATGAATGACCTTCTAGCAGAGAGAATAGACTGCATCTGGTTATTGTTATTACAATAAAAACACACAAAACAAGACCAGCTTAATACCATTGATAACACTGTTTTATCTATGATAGTACTAAATAATAATATAAAACTGTCCATTTGCATGGGCAGGCAAAATATCGCACAAAAGATTAATTGCTCCTCTTTAGATTGTCCTCAACTACGGCATTTTCTGTTATTAAAAAAAAAGTTAAAAACAAGCAAGCTGTGTGTTTGGTTTTCTGTTCTGTCTATTAAAAGTTAAATTTAATTTCCAAACAAGTCTTAAAGTTTCCTACTAATAACATTTTCATCAAGTCTTCCAAAGCAGTCTTGAATACCCAGTCGTCCAGATCTCAAATTCTGAAAGGGAGTTTGTTGAAAAAAGATTGACGTGTTGAATGAATTTAGTGCCACTTCGGCTTTTCAGATGGAAATTAATTATAGAGTTTTTTATAACTAACTTTTTATAACTAGGTGGTGTATCTGCTTCTGATAAAGCTTCTGGAACAGGATATCATGGGAAACGCAGTCAAAAGCTCTGCTCAATTTCCTTTGTTCAAAATTGTTGATATAAAAGTGTTGAGACAGATACATCACTCTTTCAAATGGATTGTGTAATAAGTTATATTATTTCTCAGGATGTTGTTTTAATTTTAGAGCTTCTTAAAATTATTTCTTTGATAGCCAAATAAGCATTTATAATGCATCATAATAATCCGTTGTTTGTATTAGCATAGTATTAGATACAAACAATATGTAGGTATACCAACCTATACGATTAGTAGAAAAATGAACAAATTAAAGGCATATATTATATGTTTCTGCAAGGAAAGGAGCATGTTTTCGTACAGTTTATGCATAGGGCGGGCGTTAATTAAGTTTACTATCATTTTGGTTTCTTATTATTTGTATATATAATATACCTCATAACTAGGAGAGCGAAGCGGTCTGTCAACATCAAAAACGCGACCATCAAATAAAAAGTCAAATCATGAAACAATAAATTTAATACAGGGCATCGGAAAATCTGACACACGATTTCTCCCATTTACTTAAGAGTTCTCCCATTTCAGGGTTTATGAGAAAAAGCACTGCAATAACTTTTGAACCATACTTTTAAAGCAATGGAGGGGGGGGGGGGGTTATACAATTATGTTAAGAATCATAAGGACCACAACATATTAAATTTGATTTAAAATCAACTAAGCCAATTAAAAAAAACTTACTTTTTTATTATTTTGTAGGGTTTTAATGGGGAAATCACATGGATTACAATGACTTTTGAACCGTAATTTTACAGCAATTTAGGTTGTTTTACCTTTTTTTTATTAAAAGGACTATAACATAAATTTTAACCAAAATTGTTTACGACCTTTTTGTACAAATCAGATATTTTGTTATTTTATGGGGAAATATCCCCATTAAATCAAAATTTCAAAAACAAAAAGCGTGGAGATGCAAGGGATTAGTACCCACATACAACATTTAATCGAAATCGGACCAGTGTCCTCTGTGGCTCTGTACGCAGGTCCGTACTCAGACCGATTTTTCCGGACAATTTTACCAGGGCTTGGGCCCCCCCAAACATATACCTACTTCATGGGTAGGGGGGAGCCGGCCTAATACAGTAGAACCTCGATAAGAAGACCCTCAATAACAATTAAGTCACCCTTGATAACAAGAGTCATTTTCAAATCCCCTTGAAATTATTTTACCCCTAATCACATGCTATTGCAAACCTCGATAAGAAGTCAACCTTGATAACAAGTCCTTTTTATGATCCCCCATGAGAGTCTTGTTATCAAGGTTCTACTCTTTACCGGTGCCTGCCAAAGCTGGATACGACCCTGGTACGCATCCACACATATCAGACAGACAGACATCACTTCAAAACCCACTTTTTTCGGTTTAGGGAAAACGCATCATGCTTCCACCCAAAAAATCCAACTCAAAAATGTTGGCAAAAACCATACTTTTCTCCATATAAGTTATAGCTACCGGTACTATGAATAGGGGGAGAAAGTAAAAATAAATGAAACTTCAGTATGAACTTGGCTTAGAAAAAACTTTAGCAGCTAGCTCCAAGTAAAGATTAGGCCTATCATCATCCTTTTATTTGTGATTTAGTAATGAACTAACCACAACTTTCCCTTTCCGTCTCCCCTTACACATCTTTCCTTTTAAGTTTAATCTATCTTTACTCTCTGTGCGAGAATCTTGACTCAGTAAAGTATTAAGAATTCGCCAAAGAAAATTTACCTATTTATTAATCTGTTATTAAATATAGGTAGATAATTATTTAGAATAATGAAATATTTTCTTTAGAGCTAACCAACTTCCATAAAACAGAACAGCCAATTCCCATCCATTACAATTGCAAGATACTGTTCAAGGATAAAGTTACAAAACCAGTTTTCACTGACTTTACTATAGAATTATCTAATCCAATTAGCTATAGGACAGGTAATGACCATGGCAACGTGACAGCAAACAATTCTTTATATGAGCAGTGTTCACATTATATTTCATTTTGGTTATGCATTTTCTTTATGATACCGGTATTTTAAATTTTCCTTTCTTTCCCAAATAAATTGCAACTATGTCAAGAAAATTTGGTTGTAACAGTAAAATAATTTATGTTTTGAATTTATTAGTCATAACAAACAATAATTTAACGCTACCATACAATACAAAGGGTTTCTATATTTGTATTCTAAAGGGGGGGGGGGTGAGTGTGTGTATATCTGTGTGTTTGTTCTGGGTTCAAAGTTAGATATACAGATCATGGACCTGGCCAATATTTAGGTCAGTTCATATTTGAAAAACTACCCTTCTGCATTCTCACCCTGTTATGAAGCACGGGCAAAGCAACAAATATTCATAAACAAGGCTACTACAGCAGTTACATTTTTTTCTCCATTAGAATAATAAGAGAATTTTAAATGGACAGTTTCTAGTAAATTTTACATAGGTATAGGGAATAAGCTATTACCATTGACTACCATAGGTCTCATGGTAAGACCTGGACCCGGGACCGATTTACTTTTTCGTTATGAGGTTCCCAGAGGCCAAAAACACTATCCGTTGAAATTCATATATATATGGAGTGTCCGTTAGCAGGATAGCTTGAACAAAAATGATCCGATTTTTATGACATTTGATATAAATGTGTAAATCTACATTTATACGGACGGTTTTGCGAACCAGCATGATCGGACCATGGGTAGGGGGGGTTTTCCCATTTTTTACCGTAAAAACATAAAATTTTGGAATTTCTTTCCAAAAGCTTAATTTTGTAGAGCTTAAAAAAGAAATAATCTAGTATATTGAAGCATTGTTGTATACAACAATTCACACATGCCTAATGGTTACAGGGAAAATTAAAAAAAGTGTAAATTTAGAATTCCCATGTTATTCTTATGGAGAAAATGATAACTGTTGTAGTTTACTTGTTTATGGATATGTTGATAAAATTTGGTAAATTTAATTATTTCATCCTATACTATTGACGTTTTGGTAAAAAAAAACACTTGTTACCTTCCCCGAAGCAGCAAACCTAAGCACTCATTAATCTAATGTTATTTAAATTGGGAATAAATATGTCTTATTTATGGAAATGTTTTAGTCAAAATGTAATCAGACAAGTTGAAATTCGCTTAGTCTGCAGGTTTGCTGCGGCGGGGGTATTTTATATTTTTAGTAACCTCTTACAACAATGCTTCAATATACAAAATGAATCATTTGTTTTAAACTAAACATCTCTACATAATGGTTGTAATGGATTTAGAGCATTTTCATGTTTCAAGAGACAAGAGTTTGAAAGCATGGAGGGAATGAAGCCCTGAGGGAGACAGACTTTAAGCAGAATAAGGGATGGAGGTTACCAGATGTTCGAGTGCTGCTAGAAACTCGTTTGGTCACCAGAGACTGATCAGTGCATGCTCGAATATTTTCTCTTTACTAATTAATTCTCAATTCTGAATGGAACAGAGTAATCAAACTTACCAAGCACCATTTTGCTGCATGCAAGGTAAATCAATATTTACATGTCTGAATAGCGAGAGAAGTCCCTAGCAAGAAAATATTTGTAAATTGTTCAAAACTTTGTTAAATGTTTTTAAAATTTTGTTCTGAATAATCACAATAGTTTCTATCAACAATAGTTTTTAATCATCTTGTAAACAAAGTTGTTTTGAAGAGTACAATGCAATTCATTAAATCACAATCCTCGTTTTAAAGTAGTTTATTAATTAAGATGCAGAATAAATAGTCACTCAATTAAATTTTATTATCAATCGTAAAATTTAGAAATGGGTAGCATTTAACAAGTTTACCTAACAAATACAGTTAAGGGACATGAAGGTAGGTATTTAAAAATATCACAAAACACTAAATATTTACCTTTAGTAAACCTCTTTCAGAGAGTGAAAGGGAAAAGTAATCTAAAATAGGAATTACTTGAATTTTAACTAATGCCTATTGGTAAAATAACATATTGTAAAACAAAGTTATAAATTTGACTAGTTTATACTACACTCGCAACAAGGAAAACTTCCTATTCTCTTATCTAAGTCTATTGATGCCAGGGAAATTTCTTAGAGCTTGCTTGTGTTGGCAACAGTGAAAGAAAAGCAAGTTACTTCACCATTGTTGATGCTAATTTTAGACAGTTGTCTCAACTATGCAATGGGTTCATATTCACCAGTCACTCATGTCATTTTTGATCTGGATGGCCTTATTTTAGGTATGCTTATATTTATTATATGATACTTGTATTTATTACATAAACTGTTGATTTATAAGAATGGTTATATAAAAAAAATTACACTCTTCAACTTGACAGATTAATTTTAGAAGATAAAAACAAATATTTTGTTATTGCATGTAATAACATCATATGCAAAAAAACTAATTTAAAAATGCATAGAGTAGTTTGATTTACATTGTGTAGTTGCTAACCCATTATAACTTAGATATACTCTAACCATATAAAAAATAAAGATATGAAAATAAGAGTTTAAATTAATTTCTTTTATCTTAATAGGTATAAGATTATTTACCCTTTTTCGATCTACAATTAGTTTTGTTTGGAACCAGATAAAACTTGTTCTAAGAATAAGATCTTTATATTTCATTACTTAATGTATAGGCTACCTATTTTATTTTGTTAATATATTTTATTTTATTTTTTTATGCAGAAGTATTAGTTTTAATCAAATTTTGCATAATACAAAATATCTTTATTTATAGTTTAGCGTCATATTTTTTATTTTTTAAATTCACTTGCGAATAAGCAAGATTAAACAATTTTAGTAAAATAGACATACATTTATTTATAGCATATAAAGTCAGACATACATTTATCGGATAAACTACAGACAGGACAATCATTTGTTAAATTGCTTTCATGTCAAGGAACAATATTCGTAAAGTCGGTTGTATACTGAAATGGCTTTCATGAAATGGTTCTAAAGGTCTATATCCATCAAAGCATTCAAATGATAGCAAGGTTAAATATCTGTTATCAGTAACTCTCAAATAAGTTAGCTACTTTTTAGCGTAACTAACATTTTCAATTGATGAAATTTTTCTGAGATAAAAACTGTTTTCGTCTTGACAAATTACTTGTGGCTAGGAATATTTCCAAATATTTTTTACGATTAAAGGAAACCGTCCTTGTTTTAAAAATATAGTATGTAATCAGGTATAATTGGGCTTGTATCATGGTATTCCCTTTTGAGAAAACACCTTTAATATAACATTAGGTTTTACTAAGAAATTAAATTATAAATGTTCTTTCTTATACTTTTACTATAACTGTATGCGAGACAACTATACAATTTTGTAGGCATATTTTATTTAAAACACAATCCATTTTCAAACAATTGAAACTCTTAATGGATTAGGGAACGTGCTGGTATAATATTAGAGCAGAGGACTTCGGAGCCTGAGGTCCCAGGTTCAAATCCTGCCAATCGCCAATGGATTTCGTCTATTTATTTATTTATTTCAATTGACATCTCCATTTTACATATAACAAATCAAAGACGTACAAAACTCAGGATGGCTAGTTGTAAACATTTAACAATAACAGTGTTGAATAGATGTGTGTTGTAAGTGCATGTGTAAATACAAGTGAAATTTATTAATGGTTACTATAACAATACAAAGTAGATACAACAGTGTAAAGCTTATGTGGTATAAAGTGAATGACTAGAACAAAATAGTTGATAAACTAAACAACATTAACAACTAGACTATAGCCTAATATCAATCCAATTGGATATGACAACGAAAACAATTAATACTTAAAACAACAAACCTACAAGCTAAATAACAACTGACAAAAATAGATTAATTATCTATGTGATATGTTAATGACGCCACCCTCTACGACTAGCCTGAAGTAATGTGTAAAACCAGTTCCAGGCTAGAACCTAGCGTCCTAGGATGTGAAGGTGGGACATTAAAAAAATTACTTGATGGATTTCTTGTGACTGTAGTACAAACTGACTGTTGTTTTATAATGTGTAGGTTTTTTACACATTTAAAATTTATATAATTGAATTGAGCATGTTGCCATTTCAATTAAAAGTATTAAAGTATGTCTGCTACATTAAATTTTTAAGAAGATAACACTTTTTATCCTCCGAAAATAAATAAAATTATGTTCTGAATACAGTATAACACTTAATTATCAAAAAAGTTGTGATCCCTTATCTATTCAAAGTCAGAAAATTATTATTTCAGGGCTCATATTTCTGTTCCATTTAATATATTTCAAAATTCAATTTAAGTAGTTACAGGATTTTTTTAGATTATACACACAGACCAACCTAAAAGTTGTTTTTTTGCTATATTCCCAAGAAGAGCTCTGTACCTTAATTTATATATTTTGTACAATAGATTTACGCTCATTTACAAAATATTTGGTTGGAAAAATTAACATTATTAACTATAAAACCTTTTACACAAGACAGTGGCGTAAGTATATTGATTGGCGCCCCCCCCCCCCCCAAAAAAAAACACCACTTTTGTTTTATTCGTTTGTCTCAGGAAAAGCCGTTATCGCGGCAATATCCAAAAACTTTCGTGGACGCGACAATCGAACCTTGGCGCCTCCCCGCTCTGCAAGGGTTGCTGTGGAGGTGTTATTTACGCCACTGACACAAGAACGATGTGGTTCTAACAAACAAACTCTCTTTAGCAATGTTCTATGCATATTACAACTGGGGAGGATCTAACACCACTTGAACATTTTAGATACAGAGAAAGTATACAAATTGAAGTATGAAGAATTGCTTGCTCGCTACAATAAACAGTTCACCCATGAGATGCGGTTGGCAGTCCTGGGACGCAAGGATGTGGACTGTGCCGAGGAGATCATCAGGGCTACCAACATTCCTCTCACACCAGTCGAGTTCTCCGCTGAGATAAAGAAACTGCAAACCGGAGCCATGAAGAGTGCTGAGCTTAAACCTGGTAAATATATTGCCAAGTGTGTTTTTGACAAGAATAATTTTTGGGGCAAAATGTTGTAAGGGCGAAATTAAAATTGGATTCCCTTTTTAAAACACAAATTAGATTAACTACAAAATCTACTTAACAAGGATGCCTATTTAGAGGCTAAGAGTGTTAAACTAGGCTTATGCGGGCTACACCACAATATACTCGCTATTAGTGTTTTATGTTTCTTGTGTACGTATGTGTGTGACAACTCTTCACAACTCAAGGGATGTAAAAATCTTGTTAAACTTGATAATCTGCTTCAAAATGAACTGTTATGTTCAAAACTGAGGTCGCTTAGTCGGACCACTGGATAGTACAAGTATTTTTATCTTTTTATCCATCAGCTACTTACTACTTTTGAATCATTTATAATTATTGTACCCACCCACACTCGAGTGAAGACTTTGACAGCTTCTCTGGCTGTGCAGGGGCGGAGAGACTGGTTCAGCATCTGGCCAGGAGCAAAGTTCCGATTGCCGTGGCAACCAGCAGTTCACGTGAGACTTACGAGCTCAAGGTCTCCAACCGCCACGAGTTGATGGCTCAGTTCCACCACGTGGTCATGGCGGGGTCCGACCAGGAGGTGAAGAAGGGAAAGCCACATCCAGACATTTATCTGGTTTGTGCTTCAAGGTTCCCAGACAACCCTCATCCAAGCAAGGTGTGTGTTTAATATGATTAGATAGTTTTTAGTCCTAGTATACCTTCCCTTTATAGACAAGTCTGGCCAGTTAATCTAAAAGGTGGGTTGGAACAACAAGTGAAGAGCAAGCCACATCAAGATATTTATCTGGTACATCAAGGATCACAGATTATCCTAATGCAATTGCAATCAAGGATCGGGTTTGGTTAACATGGTTCTGTAATCTGTAGTTTTCAGTTTTAAAATGTTTCCAGTACTAAGGTATACAGCAAAATAGTCTTTATCATAAACCTTGAGACAAGGCCGTATGAACAAACCATTGGAAGTTGATACCGTACAATAATGAAAATGTATACTGTTTATTTATGTAGCAAAAATAAGTCTATTTTTAGGTTCACAACAGTAGGCCACATACATGACGGGGGTGTAAAAAAAAACTGTTTACAGTAGCCTATGTCTAATGTTTTAAGTCTGAAATGCACCAGACTATAAATCCAAGGCAGCAACATCCCTGATTTGCTTCCCCGGAGCCGGAACTAAGAATTTATCAGCTGATTTCATTCAATACTATAAAAGCTCACCCTTGCTTTGTTTCATATGTTCAACACAGGCCTTTTAGGCCAAATGTAAGGTAAAATGAGCCTGCGGAGCTCAAAAACTAAAGATAACATTGAAACTAAACAACCAACCAATCCATCCGTTTTACATGTACTGTATTAGAGATGATGAATAAAGGATATTTTACTTTGAATACTTTGAGAAATCTCCTACACAGGAATTGCAACTAACCGATTCACTTTATCCACAGTGTCTGGTGTTAGAAGATGCTCACAACGGAGTCCAAGGAGCAATAGCAGCAGGCATGCAAGTTGTTATGGTGCCAGAGGACTTTCTACCGAGAGAACTCACAAAAGAAGCAACCCTTGTACTTAACTCACTCGAGGAATTCCAACCTGAAGTATTCGGTCTACCAAAATTCTCCTGATACTTTTTGACCTTGTCAGTTAAATCACAAGTATTCAATGCAACTGAGGCATGTTGGACATATGATTGTAAATTTTAGGTTAAGATTGTTAAGTATCACATGGTTTAGCTCACTGAAGCATGTTGATTAAAATTCAATTGATGAGAGTTGTGAAATTTAATTCACCTTGTGTAACTGAGGAGATTTTACTTTAAGTCCTCAGCTTATCAGATGCATTGAAATAAAACCATGGAAATTGACTTGATGGAAGTTTACACATCCCATTTTTATTTTAAGTGCAGTAGCCTTTCTTGGTTTTTTTACATACTACAGTAAAACGTTGATAATTATTCAAACATCAACAATTTTTAGTCGTTAATCCAGATTTGTCTCTAGTCTCTAAAAAGAAATACAATTTCACACCTTGCACTAAGCTCTTTACTTCAGAGTAGGCAATGGGAGAATTTTGCATAGCACTACCTCAAATATGTAGTGTCTGATGATTTTATAGTTCACTGTACACATTTTGCTATAAATTAAATACGATACAGTGCTTGAACATAAACAAATTAATCTCTCTTTTAGATCCCTATTCTAGATTTATATCCACATGATTTAAGTTTTTTAATCAAATAGTGGGTACTTTTTAAGGTAATTTCAATGATCTGGATGGGGTCAGGTCCCAATTAAATCGGATTATTTTTGTTATAGGCCTACTGTACACAAATTTTGAATACTTTGAGCCGGTTAGATAATGGAGTGTTAAAGGTCCGAGCTCTATGACATAAAATGCAGTCTGCAATGCAAAAATTTAACTTCTAATCTACCAAGCGAATAAAACTACATTCAAGAATGTTGTAAAAATAAAACACACAAAAACTGAAAAAATTGTTTCATAAAAATTAAAAGTGGGACACTCTTTCACTGTCCTGATTTAAAGGCATAATTCATATCATTAACTTCATCATTAAAGTCCATCAACATTTGAGATACGTCAGCATCTTGATCTTTTTCCGCATCTACACCAGTCGAGTCCAATTCATCTTCATTTCTAATATAAGGTGGAGTTTTAGCCTTTTCATATACACCATCATTTCTAGTTCCTTTCTCCTCAAAATCTGCAGTTTGAGAACTTTCCCCTACTTCCGTCCCTTCTTCAGCACCATTGGAAGTGCGACTGACATTTTCATCTTCCCCAGTAATGTCCACCACTTCAATTTCGTTGTCTTCGTCATTCTCCTCAGCTATGTCAATAACCTGTTTTGGATGATCTAAATGAACCAATTCTATTGTTTCTGAATCAGCCAAAGTACATTCTGTTATTTTGATTTCCTTTTCAAGTACAATTTCTCTGTGTTCCATTTCATTTTCCTCTGTTTCCATTGTTTTGGATTGGGTCTCATGGGGAGGGTCGATTCTCATTTTTTTCAAAGGTGGGTTTTCCTCGTCGTCTTGATCATCCGTTTCCACCTGCGTCACAGGGAAGTACAGTGAGGCGGCCGTTGGATGAATGATTCTGTCCAAACACCTCAAAGCAGCGGTACAAGTCTGTCTTACCTGTAAACAAAGCAAACTACATGTAACAAAATAAGTACACATTTTGGTTAAATGAGTCACAAGGTGCTATCACACTAGTGATACAGGTTTATAGTCTTTTAGAGAAGAAACCCATTTGAAACTTAAGGGAGACCTTAAATTTAAAAAATAACAAAGGTCATGAACTCAACCAGCGATCGCTAGTATATTTACCAGTAGAGAACGGAACTAAATGAGCCCTTCATTGAGTATGCTACACTAAGTTCAATTTTCTCATTTAGAATTTAATTTTATGATAGTTGATCACATCACCTAAACAATGCTATATTGTTTACAATAAGGTTATCTTTAAATAAAAGCCAAGTGGAGAATGTTTTTTTAATAGATAGAGTTTTTACACACAATGTTCAGTGTTTGTATTACACATCATACACACAAAACAGTGTAGCGTACAATGTAAGAGAGGAACAACTAATGTTCTGATTTATGTGTCATTCCTAATATATTTATTTGTTTTTAAGTCTGTATAATCTTTGGCAAACTTTGAACAATGTGCCGTTTTTAAAATCATCTGCCCTGCTAAAGATAAACCTTTATACGTTTATAACATACCAGAACAATGAAAAATCAACAGGTTGAAACCATGAAACCTATGTAAGTAGTTAATACAAGAAAATTGCACAAAAAGGGACCCAGGATTGAGGTATTGGAATATTTCAGTTTGATTTGAGACAGTGAGTAAAGTAGCATGAACTTACCAAACCGAAAGGATGGTGTGAGCCGGCCGTGAACGCAGTGATAGCTTGCGGTAACGGTGGTACCAACCTCGGGTGAGGCTCTACGCACAGAGTAAATAACAGCTGGTACAGTGCAGTCAAGCAGTTGACATGACTGTATGGCACTGGCAGGTCTGCCACTAGTCGTAACACTGTTTCAGTGATGCTCTATGAATTTAAAAGGTGCAGTTTAGAGTAATTTATGAAAAGAATGAATAGTATTTTGTAAATAGGAGATTACTAAATAGAAAGTAATCATCACATTCTCATCATTATAGTCGTAAGCAGTTTCGGAATAAAATTATACGCAGTTGAATTGAGTCACTGACTAACTAATTGAGTTGTAAGGATTGTTATGTACAATGATACGGATCAGCTAGCTTACCTGGTAGATAGAGTCCAGATTAGCCTTGGTAACACACGTAAAACACATGACACAACACAGAAAACTTAATATTTCGTCCCAGTTAGGGACTTCATCAGAAGGGAGAAGAAAGAAGACTCCAGTTGTGTTTTATGTGTGTTACGAAGGTTAATCAGGACTATGTCTACCAGGTAAGCTAGCTGATCCATATCCTTGTACATAATAATCCTAATCAGCCAACTGGCCTTTCCTTAACTTCTAATTGAGTTGTAAACTATTTTTAAGGGTTCTGTATAGTCTCCGGATTACTGGTTTATACTTTAAATTGTTAACATTTGCGTAAAGTAATCCTTGGTTGCTCTACTAGCAACGAGTTTCGATTCCTGAATGACCCATCATCAGTTCTAAGGGGAGTCGCCATCAATCACTATTTGAAGGTTGCCAATAAAGTACAAGGATCACTTAAAGCTACTGTTTAACCGTTAAAAAAATTATTGATTTCTGTAAAATATGCAAACTGAGGTAAATAAAAAGACATCTTGTTATGAACTATAGCATCTCTTAAGTCACATAAAATGTAGTAGCAAAAACTTAAGGAGAAATTTGAATTTTTGCAATAGTGCACTTTATTTGTCGCTCATTTTGCTATGTTCTAATTAGGCCTAGTTAAAAATGTATGTGGATAGGTTGAACAACAGGCTTATGTTACTGACAAAAATTGTTCAAAGTTTGATAAACTCATGACACAGTCTTATGAAAGGAGTAATCCTTCCAAAACAAGACAACGAGAACAAAGGCTCTACAACTAAAGGAGCTAGTAGTTCCAAAAAGATTCTATGTCTGTGGTTATTTTTTATAACTTTTTTCTTCAATAAGGTTTAACCTATCCACCACAAAATCCTTAAAACCTTGCTAAAGTTATCTATACGGTACCAAATAAAGATTTTTGAAAAGGTATAGAATTCAGGTAATTTACCTGAGAAATGTTATTTGTGTTCTTTAATTATTTGTGTATTCATTAGCCCCTGGACCATAATTTTCTCAGGTAAGCCAGCTCTCTTCCTTTAAAAAAATTCTAACAAGCCAGTTGGCATTTGGCTAAAATATAATCTATTACCAAATAATGCTAAAAATGATAAAACTGGCTTCAGTTGGTCCATTAAGATAGGATCACATGGCAGAATATGATCAGTGTCCATCATTTTATGGTAATAATTTCAAAACATTTACCGGGTACAATCGGCTACTACTAATTACTGAAACGTGTTACATACCGAGATGACATCAGGTTTGAGCCGTGACACAGCAGCTCCCACCAGAGCCGCCAGGGTCAACAACGCTCGCTCACACAGTCTGTGGTTAGCCGTCTCGTCTCTGAGCTTCTCGCTACGATCCTGATCACTCACCAACACTTGTTGTCGTTTCTTACCCTTGGATGCCTTGGAGCCCACCTGAGAAGGTTAACAGTTTCTTATAGTTCTCCCTTCCCATCCTAGGAGAGTCAAGCTCCTAGGGTTGTTTTACACATTACTTTCAGGCTCGGCCTAGAGGGTTGCGGCATTATCATAGCTCCTTTCATAATTGGATTCAAGTCCAATGCCCTACATCGCTTGTTTAGACCAGCACTTTCTCTCAAAAGGTTTAACATTCATGCTGTTTGTAATGAGTTTATTGACACAAGGCCAAGGTGGGAATAGTTGCTGCAGTACCTATTTTAAGCAGCTCGGTGGTACAGCTGGTGCCATCGACATGTAAGCTGGCATTTGACCAATCGCTACGAGCCTAGTTCAAAAATATTATGTGCCATCATGCAGGTTGCATCAACTGCCCTCGCGACCTATGTGAAGGTGCTGAAATACATGAAAAACGGGGGCTCAACTCCATGAGCCAGAAAAAATTTTTGCAGTCTGGTCTTTTCAGTACCTCCACCCTCCCACCGCCTAGACTGTCTGTGCCAGGCCCAAGTGCCAACTTATGTGTGCTTAAGCCGTACCAGATCCTTGTTCAAATCATCCGCATTAAACAAAATTGATGGATATGATTCAAAATCACACAATGTGTAAAATTAATTCTATGCCGAACAGATGATGAATACAGCACTAACATCTGTACTGACCAAACAGAACATGATAAACATTTGAAAGAGTGGAGAGTGCATAAGAGTATGAGTCAAACGCACGGCGTCCTTCAAAGCATCCAAACTCCAAATAAAATAGAAAACCTACGGATTGAATTTTCATCATAATACGAGTACTACTCAAATGTATACATAATCTGTAGCCGAACACTGAAACAATTATAGTTAATTTAATATTGTAATTACAAGTTTTTACTCTTTTTGGCCCTACATTAAACGGAATTTGAATTTCCATTTAGCGTAAAATCTGGTTGAAGTAGAATTTGTTACAACTGTTAATATTCTCAGATTCATTTGTAATGGAGCTCTTTTAAATGAATATAACTCGCTTAGTCTACAAAATACAAATTTTGAGACAGATTTGTCATGCTTCGCTAACTTATTGCTGTTGTCTGAAATCCGTTCTTTGGTTACGAATTTCACATATATGTATATATATTCATAGTAGGCTAATATAAATTTTAGAGTGATTTCAACTAAATAAAAACCATCAGGGATAATTTTCAGCGAGATGTCAAACATTCTGAGGCAATTTTCAGCCAAATGTAAAATATTTTCGAGTGATTTTCAATTGTCAGCAAATGTTGCATTCTATAGTATATTCCAAAGTAACTTTCAGCAGCCAAACATCAACTGACCCGTAGTCTAACGGAGGGTTTCTCTGCGTGTATATCAGCCAACAGTGGAGGGAGCAGTTTGTCCACCACAGTATCCAGCTGACTAGCAGCTCCGGCCACGCTGAGCCAAGATTGAAGACAACAGTAAGCAACATGTCTCGTCTGACTGTAACAAAACCAACATTGTGACAAGAGGAGTACTGATAAGTTATTGTAATTCTTAATTCTACGCTTCCTAAAACGCAAAGTGTCAGCTATAAAGAATAACAAACCCCTCTACTATGTTGATATAACTCAATAAAAGCTGTTTGAAGGCTATGAGGAAGTTGTTATCATTGGCCGAGCAATCTAAGGCGTTGTAACTTCAGCCAAGAGACGGTGCCATAAATTGATGGAACAAGTCCCGTCTCAGTCAGGTTTGGTGTTCAATCCTTGAAGATATAGAAATAAAAAAGGTAACTTAAAATAAATGACAATAGACTAGCGACCCATTCTGACAGTTGTTGCAAGCATTTTGCAGTTTTCTATTTATAATCACTGTGTGTGTGTGTGTTTCTTGAAAACTTTTTTGATAAACATTTTGGGTTTTTGTTGTACAAAAATGCTAAACATTGTTTTTACAAACCTTGGGCCTACATATAGTGTTTTCATAGTATGGATAGTTGGTGACAGTGGTGGTTATATGACATTCATATTCAAAACTTCCTTATTAGTTTAATAATGTACAGCAATACAATAAATAGCGTCACAGTTCCTTAATCTAACTCAATACATTGCATTGAATTGTTCAGGTTTTTTCTAACAGTTATGTAGCATCAGCATTGCCTCACTTAAATTCAGCCCTAACCTCAGGGGGGGGGGGCTAACAGGGGGTGTCTCGCACACTTCAAAAAAGGAGGGGTTCGGATGTTCTCGCTGGACAATTTGGTATTTTTAAAGCTGTTTGGTTCACTTTCCAAAGCCATTTTTAGTGTATAGTACCATGTGTAAAAAACCTCCGATGTTACGTTTTAGGATGAAATGTGTTTAAATTTATTTTTCCAGGGTCCAATTGGGGAGGTGGCGACTTGGGGGGGGGGGGGGTAGGGCCTCTGTAGAAGTGCTACTAATGAGTAAAATAAGTAGATACTACAAAATAAACTTAATATCTTACAATATCTTAAATTACCCAACGATTGTTGTTTGATTTAATTTCACACTTCTTTTCTTTATTAACCAATATTTGGTTTAATTACCTGTAAGGTTTGACCATGGCGTAAGGCCAGTCAGAATGCTTCTGATGACTCCAATGGATGACTTGAGAACAAAGGTAACCAACCAACCCTCCATGAGGTACCAAGTTGCGCCCCAGGCTACAAAAACAAACCATCAATTTTGAATTAGACTCAATCTCTCGCTCAGAAACTGTAGGACACGCATGTGAAAGTCAAAGTAAAGCTTTGCGATCAGTGTCACCGGACATGAACTAGACACGAAAAACGAGCTTCAAAGTTTACAATGAGATGTAAAGTTTACTTGTGTTGGTTAGTCTATGGTAAGACTATAATGCATTTTCCACTCTAATAATCATAAGAATAATGTTAAACATACTTCTAAATATATTTATTTTATCGACTACGTTGCTCTTTCTCCTAATTAATCGTAGGATACGACATTATGGTACCGACACGATATAGGTACTACACTTTCGGCAACACTGGCCAAAAATGTTCGTGCTTGGCTCCCATTGGACGGAACGCGAGGCTTCTGATTGGGAGTTAGCGAGCTCCGCCGAGGGACCGAGTTAGCGACTTCCGTACGAGGACGGAATTCGCTAACCCGGCTCTAGAGCGGGTTAGCGGGTTCCGGAGTTAGCCAATTCCGAAACCGAACAAGTTAGCGAGTTCCTCTCATCGACCAAATTTGAAGATAGGGCGTTTAACATGGGGTTAGCGAGTTCCAGAGTTAGCCAATTAAGCGGACCCCAAGCTGAAAGTATAGATGTACTTTATAATGAGGCTGAAGCCAACATTTTAGAATAATTAGAAAAGATCTGAAAATTAAATTTAATCAAACAAGAATATAATCTGACACATCTGTTTTAATCATATTGCTTACAATAAATAGTCCTGCAAAATAATCAACTGGTTTTAGTTAGTAACAAGGCTTTCAGGTCATTCTACACTTACGATTCATTTATCTTTACCTTTAACAATCTTCATTGTGTATTTGCGTTCCACATTAGTAGTTCAATTAAAATAATAGGTAATAAACTTATGAATTTAGGGTATAAAGATCAGGAAATAAATCTCTGCAAAAATTCCTCTTCTATTTTATTTCTTACACATCAACCCAAGGTTTTAAGGGTGAGATAAATGAAAGATGGTTGTTGAATGAATTAATGAGATTATAACAATTAGTAACTACGATTTGCAGGTTCTTCATTCAGAAACATTCATTAAAATCCTCTTACCACATTACTAGAGACTCCAAGAGTCGCAGTGAAGCTATTTGTACAGATGGTAGCACTGCAGTGACAGCCAGAGCCTCCCTAGTGGAACCCAGTGTTGCCAACGTTGCTTTCTGAGCATGAGCAACAACATCCAAGATTACGTCTGGCGCAACAGCTTTAGCCACTGGAAACGCTTCTCTGAAAACAAGTATTGTCATGGTCCATAGAAATCAATACTGACTCCTTTCTATTACTCTTGATAATGAATACAACTAGACATTAAATTCCCACGTTAAGTTGTAGCCAGTTTGGGGATTGAAATCAATGTCACTTGAATTAAATCGCCAACAGAATTGTAGTAAAAAAATGTAATAAAATGTTTTGACGTCAATAATTAACCATACAAACTTTTAAATCAAGCAATTGAAAGAACCACTAATTTTTAGTATTTTTATTCTACATCAACCACAAAAGCTAAAGGACCAATTCTCTCCTCTGTGTGTACAAAATTGGATAGAAACCGTACACAGAGCTCTCTTTTGACACATAAAGAACATTGTGTTTAATTATGCTACAAAAACTACGATCACCTGAGGTTGGGGCGGAGAGAGAACTGATGTCACTACACCTTAGCTTTATCAACTAATCATATATACAAGTGAAAGATATGTTTAAAATATTGCAGCTACAGCATTGCTCTTAGATTCTGATCTAGACAAGCAGATTTAAATGCACGTTTATATTGGCTTAGTGTGACGGCTGGGTTAGGTCTTAACTCTTAATTTTGTATGGTACATACCAATACAAATATACATCTAACAAAACTCATAATATGGACACTTATACAATAACAACTTAGCGTAGCCTTTCTATGTATGATAAAATGTCCCAAATAAACTGATTTCACAAAATATAGACTTTAATTAGATTACTTTTATTTTTAACAACAGATATGAGGAAGATGGTAGCCTACGTACAACAGCATTGCTTGTAGAAATAAAGCCACTGCAGAGAACTGAGTGGCCAAACGTTGTGACTTTATCAGAATGTTCTTTTCATTGACTGGTTCAAGGGAAAGCTCAATATCTTCCAAGGCCGTTGCACTTTCTTCCTGTAACAAAAATAATCTTTAGACCATAACGAATTAAGATTCTTTTTTAATGTACAGTATAAACAGGTAACATTTGTATTTTGTAGCTTAGACTCTATGATTATTCACTGGTTTAGTGGTGCCTATTATTATATTTTCCCTCATCTTATCAGTCACAGTAAACATTAGTAAAAGGTAGCAAAACACCTAAATGGTGAAAAAGAAACCAGAAAAGACTCTACCGCTCCTGTCAACTTTAATCCAAGCTGACCACTCCTTACATTAGGGGGCCTCTAGTATATAGCCTCTATTATATAGAGTGCCACAAGTAAACTCTTCATATGTTGCAAACACCAGACCAGAATCAGACTGGATTAACACTCAATATATTTCGTACAACAGTCTTGTTTTGAGTATCAATCCAGAGACATCTTGGACGGGAAAAAGTGCCTTAGACTGCACAGCTGTTATAGGACCTGAAAATATCAGAACCCGCGGACCGTTACTTACCATGTGACAGTCCACATGCTCATACAGCCTGTTGAGCAGAGAGTGCAGTAGACTCACTAGTCCCAGCTGTTGTCTCCTCCAGGCAGTCTTGTGTGACACTCCCTGCTTGCCCCCGCCTCCCACCCCCGCCACTAGAGATACACATCTACTACCATCACTTACCATGTGACAGTCCACATGCTCATACAGTCTGTTGAGCAGAGAGTGCAGTAGACTCACAAGTCCCAGCTGTTGTCTCCTCCAGGCAGTCTTGTGTGACACTCCCTGCTTGCCCCCGCCTCCCACCCCCGCCACTAGAGATACACATCTACTACCATCACTTACCATGTGACATTCCACATGCTCATACAGTCTGTTGAGCAGAGAGTGCAGTAGACTCACAAGTCCCAGCTGTTGTCTCCTCCAGGCAGTCTTGTGTGACACTCCCTGCTTGCCCCCGCCTCCCACCCCCGCCACTAGAGATACACATCTACTACCATCACTTACCATGTGACAGTCCACATGCTCATACAGTCTGTTGAGCAGAGAGTGCAGTAGACTCACAAGTCCCAGCTGTTGTCTCCTCCAGGCAGTCTTGTGTGACACTCCCTGCTTGCCCCCGCCTCCCACCCCCGCCACTAGAGATACACATCTACTACCATCACTTACCATGTGACAGTCCACATGCTCATACAGTCTGTTGAGCAGAGAGTGCAGTAGACTCACAAGTCCCAGCTGTTGTCTCCTCCAGGCAGTCTTGTGTGACACTCCCTGCTTGCCCCCGCCTCCCACCCCCGCCACTAGAGATACACATCTACTACCATCACTTACCATGTGACAGTCCACATGCTCATACAGTCTGTTGAGCAGAGAGTGCAGTAGACTCACAAGTCCCAGCTGTTGTCTCCTCCAGGCAGTCTTGTGTGACACTCCCAGCTTGCCCCCGCCTCCCACCCCCGCCACTAGAGATACACATCTACTACCATCACTTACCATGTGACAGTCCACATGCTCATACAGCCTGTTGAGCAGAGAGTGCAGTAGACTCACTAGTCCCAGCTGTTGTCTCCTCCAGGCAGTCTTGTGTGACACTCCCTGCTTGCCCCCGCCTCCCACCCCCGCCACTAGAGATACACATCTACTAGCAGCTACTACTACTTCTCTCCGTGCCTCTACAGTTGTTAGTAGCAGCTTCTGAATGTCCAGCTGAAACAATTGGAGATTTGACATATGTTTTCTCAGCTCTACTAAATACATGATTTATCTTATGATTGATATAGCCTACTAATTCATTAATAATCAGTTACTTCCATTAAAAACAAATTGTAGAATAAGCAATTGTATTCTTACACCAAGGAAGTTTACACAAAAGGGTAAAGTTACAATCCAACCTTTTTGGACGTCCCTTGAATGCATGTATGGCTGTCAATGCAATAACTTTAATTATGATAAAAAATACAGTATTTGACCCTGAACATCTCGGAGGCACTGCCGAATTGCAGTGACAAAGGGATTGATATAATCATAATTTTATGGTTTTTTATCCTTGGACGCTAAGCATGAGCCTGGGATTGTTTTTCACACTACTTCAGGCTAGATCTAGGGGTTACGGCATTATCACTTATACAGATATAGTGCTGATGGTGAGACAGTATCAGTTTTCCAAACCTGATTTTTTCTGCCTAGCGTAATCTTATGTTAGACATACCCTATACTCTCCGGCAGGGCCTGGGTATTCAATCATGCACGATTGAATGCATTCTAGCAGCTCAACGGACACCTGAAAACCAATAATAGAATCAATACTGTGACAGTTGTGCAGTAACTGTTCATTTTTGTTTTATAAATAATATCAATATAGCCTGCTAGGCTAACTAAACAATAGTAGTTTTGTATAACAAATTTATTTAATTGATTTCAATAAATTTCATATCAAAAGTTTAAACGATTTTAAGTTAAACAGAAATTACTATTTCAAAATGGTTAAGGATTTGGAAAAGAACGGTGAGATTTTTATAAATTATAATAAATTTTTGTTCAGCTATTAATTTTTTTATACACTAGATTCTTAGAACAGATGTATAAAAAACCATCGATGGATGAAATGTATCTTACCTGGTGGTTAGATTTCCGCCTCACATGGTCTTGCAAAAACTTGGGAACAATTTGTTTAGCTACATCTTTGTTTACTTCAGGAAACTTCACAGAAAGTCTTATTAGTTTGCCTAAAAACCATAACGACTGCTTAAAATATTGTAATACAATTTCAATAAATTGTTTAATCTAGATGTAAGTTGAACATCGTCAGAATATAACAAGTCAGAATACCGATGGAGGTCAGGTAGGTTCACAGTACACACACAAGGGCAGAGGATTAGGACCAGCCGTATTTCCGCTCCATTAAATACTCTATTGTACCAACCAGTCAAAATTTAAAAATATTTTTATTTGTAATTTTACTTTGCCTTCTTTATTAGTTTTGAACTCTTTGCGTTATAACAAGAAAAATTATACCAAACAATGTACAGTTAACTGTAGCCTATTACCATTTGTGTTATAATAATAAACAGTTTGTTACAACACCTTAAGTCGCCAGCTATTCATCAGCCGAGCAACTTACCCTGCCCCTTGTGTCTGTGAGTGTGGGAGTGGGTGCAGCGACGGAACTTTACCTGGCCTTCATCGGTACTCGTTATTTTCTAACACAATATAAAGTTAGAAATCAGTAAAACTGTAGGCCTAAACTGAACCTAGGCTGTTAAGATGCCGACACTATTGTACCCTACACACCAATGTGGTGAGCAGTTTTTGAGGCAAAGATGAATAAGAAGTAAAACTAACAATGTACAAGAGCTTGTACTGATCCTGAGTAGGTACAAATTAATGCAAGCTAGCAAAATACAACACCTTTTATTTCAAATGTTGATCCATTTATTTATTTTAGGTACATTCTAACGGACAGCTCCATTTTGATATTTAGTAATTTTAGTGCAATACAAACAAGACTTACTTAAAGCTAATTATACAATAATGTTGAGTGAAAAACAAAGAATCAGAATCAATTGATAACAACAAAAAATATAAACGGCAACAAGATGGTAAAAAAGACAGTGGTTGCAACAAAACAAGTGAAAATAAACAAAACAGTTAACGTACAACAAAACAAATCAATAAAAGCGTTACAATCAATAACAATAATAAATTTAATTTGATCACTAATTAGGTACCGGTACGGTAAAAATGAATCTGCTGTCGTACTAATTGCAGGATAAAGGATTTTGGAATGTTGTATTCAAGCAAAAGTTAGATACCTATATTTCTAACTTGTAAACTATTTCTGGATTAATATTCCAGGATTTTCAAAATGTAGTGCCTCATTGATTTACCATAGGTAGTTATGATGATCTCAATGATTAAACTTGACTCAAAAATTAAATTTAAATTACTAAAATGTAGGGATGGACGAGATTGGATTTTTAGTTCAAGACGAGACGAGACGAGATTTTTTATTTCTCATAAAATTTCGAGACGAGATCGAGACGAGATTTCTCTTCTCATACACAACGGGAAATGCACGTTCGAAATTTTTACCTGATTTTGTAACATTGTTAGATGACTGTTTAAATACTAAAATAATGATAATAGGCAAGAATATTTACAATCTTTCATTAAATAACATCAGCATAACATTTTTTTATTAATCACGCCTAACTTATTAAAAATGCCTACGATTAGGAAACATGGTGATATCAGTTAGGATAGAGTTAAACTTATCCTAAAATAAAATAAATCATAAAATAAAAGCAATATTAATTTTTATAAAATAGTTACTTGTTTTGACTTTTTTTATAGTAATAAAACATTCCTCACACTGCTTACACTTAACAAAACTTCTCAAATGGTATTAAAAAGTAATATTATTAAAATAATGAAAGTGATATTTACATTAAAAGAATTAAAAATAAGAACGCCTTCAAAAAGGAAACGCAACTACAACACGCTCCTGTATTGCGGGTATTGCATTGCCTTTCTGCAGGCGTTTTTAATTTTTTTTTTTTTTTTTTTTTTTTTTTTTTTATTCTCGTCTCGATAAAAATCTCGGCCAAAAAGTAATCTCGTCTCGTGTAACGAGATTGAAAATTTCCCGAAATTTCGAGACTTGACCATCCCTACTAAAATGTTTTAAATGTATACTTACTCAAAACTGTTAGAGCAAGTGCACTGGCAGATACTTCTTTTTGACTAATGAATTTATTACAATTAACCATCCAAGAAAGGGCATTGCTGGAGAAGGCATCACTGGATATATGTGAAAGATAGCTTTGCAGAAGCAGTAACCCCTTTTCTTTGTCAAAAGAGCTATTTAAGCTATTGTTGATAGATTTGATGACTGCATCGGTTTTGTCCTGCAACAGACCAAAATATTATATTTATTGTACCTATGTCATCAATAGGCTATTAAGAAACATAATCTGCTCTTGGTATTATCGTGTTTTTTTTTTCATACCATAGTATCATTATTAGATATTCCAATGTTAAATGACATCTGGATCAAAACAAATGTGATACCAAAGAATTGGTGTAAATACCTGCATTTATGCGATTAATGTGTTGCTAAATTGCAACCGGTTTCGACTCACATAGGAAGTACAGTACAGATGTCTCCTCACAACATTCGAAGGTCGTCTATTTATAATAAATAAATACATTAAACACGCAAACGTACACGAACATTTTAAAAACACACATTTAGCGTTAAAAACTAAGGGTAATACTAAAACGGTAACGGGACACGACGTTATCGGGTGGGAGCTATGTCTAGACTGCCGTTCTGGATCAACGTGGTCAGTGATGGCGACGTTCGACGTTATACCTAGATTTCCTGATTAGCTGATAGCTTGATTCACATCTGTCCCTCACACTTGTAGGCTATCTTGATTGCAGTGTCGCAGTGATGCCATTTTCAGTAAAAGTTAGAAATACTTCACTTACTCGTTTTGACTGATCAATGGCTTTTGTTCTCAAGCTGTGTTTACACAAAGCCAAATTAAATACTTGGCAGGCAAGTTGACTTACTTGCAGCAGGTAACTTAAAATACTCTTACTTAGGGGCAGGTAACCAGCCTGCGTACTGGCCTCATGAAAACGTGGCTTAAGATGCTGTTGTATATCTAGCCAGAAGACAGCACCGTGGATTGAGGGATTGAAACAGTTCAGCACCTGTGAGATGCAGACTTTGGCTGGTCAGGCTATCCTAAATAAACTGGCTCAAAACGAAGTAAACAGGAGGGTTTACCTTTGTTATTGTGGATTTTGATACTTTAACATAAGCCTCACGATATCCACCAAAAACTGTCAAAAAACCCAATGAAAATAACCTAGGCATTAAAATGAAATAATCGATTGTGCTCAACATGTTACATGGGGAAAGGAAAAACTTATTTTGCAATTTAGGTTAGCCTAATAAGTTAGCCTAACCCTACAGCATTTTCGGGACAAACGTTTGGAACATCTACAACATTTTCAAAATAATTAAATTAATCACTTGTATTAGTTATTTTAATTTAGGTATAACTTAACTTATAATGAATGATTAATGATTAATGAGATCAATCTTGTTTACCTGGTTGTAAAATGCACCTTGCTCAAGACACGAATTTAAAAAATTAATAAGATGCAAATTATTGCCTGACGATATTTCTATCGAATTATGCAGAAGCTCAACAATATTTCCACTCATAGTCCGAAGTTATATGAACGACGAATTTAGAAAAACAACATTCGATTTTCAATGTTGCAAATTGAGGATATAACCTCAAAACAATTGTTATGGTGTGTGTATGCTCATGCTGTTGCCGTATGGTGGTGTGTCGGTGTGTGGTGTGGTGTAGTGGTGGTGTGGTGATCGGTTAGAGGTGATGGTGTCGGTGTGTCCGGTCCCGGTGCACGGCCACCTTTAACTACAGGCCGCGGCCTGGTAGAATTGGCAACGTCGCAAGTAGTGTTGTTTAGAGGCAGACGTCCCATAAGACAACATGGCAGACAGGTGACATCAGCGCATTAATTCGCACTTTATCGATTTAAATTTAAATTTATGAACATAAATTTATTAAAATATTGAAAATAAAACATACAGAATTGAAAACCGAAACAATATGAATTAAAAATCCATATCTGTATATTGTTTTTTTTTTTTTTTTTTTTTTTTTTTTATCTACACCAAGTAGAGCAGAGCATAGTGTGGCCTTGAGTGGAGTCAATATTGTCATAGTCCAGTAACCAATCTGTTGTAAATACACAACTACCATTTAGCTGCTTCCAAACAAAACAGCTGTTATAACACCACTTGCAACGTTGCCACTTCGAAGGCCGCGGCCTGGAGTTAAAGGTGGCCGTGCCCCTTAAAACCCATTAAAATAAAATATAAAAAAATATTTTTTCTACCAACCATGGCCACATTTAACTCCTTCACTTAACTCACGGCCACTTTTAACTCCAGGCCGCGGCCTGTTATAATTTGCAACGTTGCAAGTAGTGTTGTCTAGTGCCAGACGTCCCATACGATACCATGGCAGACATGTGACACCAGCTCATTAAATCGCGTATAATTCATTTAAACTTTACTTTATGGACATAAATTTTATTAAAAGATTGAAAATCAAACATAAAGAATTGAAAACCAAAACAAAATCTTACTAATATTATAAATGTGAAATTTTCAAATAATTTAAATAATCAATTATTGAAAATCTATTTTTGTACATTAAATTGGAGTCAATATTTTCATAGCCCGGTAACTATAAGCTTTTGTATTCTTAAAATATACACAAATACCATTAGCCACCTCCAAACAAAACAGCTGTTACAAGTTAACCCTATTAGTACTTGCGATGTTGCACGGACTCCTTTAACTACAGACCTTCAGAATTAAATTTATGAACAAAAATTTATTATAATATTGAAAATAAAACATACAGTATTGAAAACCGAAACCATATGAATTAAAAATCTATATCTGTACATTTTAAGCGGAGTCAATATTGTCATAGTCCAGTAACCAATCTTTCGTAAATACAAAATTACCATTAACTGCTTCCAAACAAAACAGCTGTTACAACACCACTTGCGACTTTGCCACTTCGAAGGCCGTGGCCTGGAGTTAAAGGCGGCCGTGACCAAACACGGCCACCTTTACCTACGTACCATAGCGTCTACTCTACACACTAATATTCCCATAAGATCTACATCTCACAACGGACACTTTTATATTTTGCCTCTTAGAGTCGACCTAATCCATGGCCACTTAATCCCATACTTTCGATGTAGTAGGGAGGGCAGTAAGTTATATGGAATTAGGAGCTGTGGAACCCCTCCCGTCGACATACCAGTAGTGTTGACAAAAGAGTGGGAGATTCGAATTTTAAGTGAACCGATTGATTTTCTTGAACAACTCGGTGGAAAGCTTACCAGATTAAATTTTAATAAAAATGTATTAAACCAGTTCCAAAAGTACAGTATAGAATGTCAATAAACTTGAAGGTAAATTGCTCTAGAGTTCATTGTAAACCCAGTTTGTCAAAGCGGAAGACCAAAAAACCATCAACTAGAACCTTTTTATAGCCTTCTTTTATCCAAAGCATATAGCCTTTTTTCCAAACAGGCAAATAATAAAACTGGCAACCAAATAAAAACTAGCAAAATGAAATGACAAAAAATTAATACCGTACTAGCATTAAATCAACAGGTATAAGATAATTTATATTAATGGTTATTTTGGCTTTACTATGGTTCAAATATAAATATAAGAGAAAATAATATAACATAATATAATGCCAATTAAAGGTAAAAATTTGTATTGCATCATTGACTCTAATTAGAATATTAATTAGAGAATTGGAGTAAAAATGTTATTTGAACAACCCCATCACTTCTTCTAAATTAATTTAGTAAATCAGGTATGTGATTTTAGGATAGATATAAAGATCCTTGGTTGATTTTCAATTGTGTTTAAATCCAGAAGAATTAAAAGAAATTCTATTGATTAATGAAAGTGAAAACTGAATTTTTAATATTGTTTTCATCTAATTTACTTTTTTACTTCATGAGTTTTATTTGTTACTTAGCTGTAACCCGCGGGCTTTGCCCCGTTTAACTTCTTAATTTTCAAGATCATCTCGTTCGCATGGCTCAATCACGTCCTGGTTGAAGTTTGTTCGCTACGCTCACTCACCTTTAGGTTGGAGCTCGTTCGCTACGCTCACTCACCTTTAGGTTGGAGCTTGTTCGCTGCGCTCACTTGCCTTCAGGTTAGCTCGTTCGCTACGCTCACTTGCCTTCAGGTTAGCCTGTTCACTACGCTAACTCGCCTCCAGGTTGAAGTTCGTTCGCTATGCTCACTCACCTTTTGGTTGCAAATTAGCTGTTGTCATTGATATAAAAGAAATAATGGTGCTGCACCCTGTTGGTAATCCTTGTAACTTTAATGCTATTGAACATCATAGAACAGAACCAACTTGTTTAATTGAAACAGCTGTTAAGATTCATTAATTCCATTTCTCATAAGGTTAACATGAGAAACTCCAGAGCCCCTGGGGCGGAGCCGATTGGACGGATCACAAAATTGATGGTGTATAAACCTATTCGATGAAATTCTACACGTATGTACCAAGTTTCGTGGCAATCGGTTCAGCGGTGTCTGAGTTTATCACTGCCAAATATACAAACATCCTCTTTTATACTTATTAATTATGTGTTTCAAACTATTAAATTAATACTTCACGATTCCCAAAGCCCTGGTCTTTCCTCTAGTTACACACGCATTGTAATTACTTTAGTAGAACATTACTACTTCCAAACGTTCTTCAATAATAAGCTGTCGTCAGAATGCATTTTATTTCAAAATGTGTATTCGCTTTAAAATAAATCCTAAAAATCTTATAATCTAAATGCGGAAGTTTATTGTGTGTAGGAAACGTTCACAATAAATGTATGCGTTTAGAATCCACGGAATAGAGAGAGACACTAGAGAGAGAGACATTCCACTATCAGAAATAAAAGAGGTTAAAAGATAAACAGACTTTTTACCGAACAACTAGAGGTAGTCTTTTATTCTACGTTTGATTATTCGCAGACTTACGATAAGACCGTCCAGCGATAACACCTGGTTCCAATAATAATCATCGCTAAATATTATACCTTATTTATTAACTTTTAATATAGTGCTGTGAGTGGTAACATCGAATGTTCAATTGTGCGAATTAATGCATTTTCCGTTTTCGATTTCTATGGTAAAATAATTTCCTCAGTTTCGGGCACTTTTCGGCGGTCCTTTGCATACTCTTTTGCACTCAAGTTTTTCGCGTTTATGTAAAATATTTTGTGACTTTCTGTGCTAATAACGTGTTTAATATTTAGTTCAAACTGTTTGGAATGTCTTGTGTCCATTTTATTACATTAATTCGAAGTGAAAAGTGTTAGTTTTCTCTTTAGAAAGATTTATGTCGGAATGTTACACTCTCGTGTGTCGTGTGTGTTAAATGTTTTGGTTTTAAACGTGTTTAAAGTCTTAAATATGTTATACTCCGTTCAAACAGCCGTGGCACGTGAGGGATTAGGAGGCCCCAAAGGTTTACATGGGGTCTCCTAATCCGTCAGGTGCCACGGCTGTTTGAACGGAACCGTATAATTTAGTTGCTGTTATTTATTTTTCAATTCAACAAAACGCATTGGGTACATTTACTGATTTTGTTGAAATTAAATATTTACTATCTTAATTTTTAAGTTCGTACATATTACAATGTAAAAAACCGAGAAAGCCAGGGCAATTTGAAATATTTTACCAAATAAGAAAAATTAATTGACAGGGTATTGTAATTCTTGAGCAATCATTGAAAGAACCGATTTGTTAACTATGGAAACATAGGAAAGTAATAGAACGCCACCAAGTAGAAGAAACAGAGATTAAATAAAAAAACTACTATCGTTATCATCCTATATAACGAAGAACACCTACAATATGAAGATTCCACCAAACAATAAACAAGGATGTTAGCTGAAGTGCTAATTTTGTAGGAAACACGGACTTAACTTTATGATGATTGGCAAAGGAAACCCCTCTAAGGCCGAATTAAACTGGTACATCAAGGATATTAAATATATGTTTTCATAAATGTCAAGTGATTTTAAAATAATATGACTACATCCAAGAAACCTTAATACAACTTTCATTGAAGGATTCGCATTATTCACATTCAAGGGAAACCAAAAACCATCTGAACAACATTACGCCTTTCAATTCTAAATTTTTTTAAGGTAAATATAACTTACTTTTTAATAGTAACAAGCCAAATTAATGCCAATTGAAGCAAATAAAATTGTGACAGAGAGGTTATGCAGAAAATCAGGTAGTTCTTAAGTATTGTAAACCAAATTTTATTACTATAAAAAATGACTGAAATTTGTAAACTAACGTACTGGCGACAATGGGTAGTACCATGCTGACTACGTTATCATTGACGAAGATCAACATGGGCAACCTAATGCGGCTAAGTGGGAAACATTTGTAGAATACAGTACACTAAAAACCAGATCAGCTTATGAAAAATGATCAAATATTTACAAGAAATGTTTATTATATAGAACTGTTAGTAACGTTATCTATGAGTTGAGTCTTTTGAATTGATCGGAAATTATGAATTTTATTCGTTTTTAAAGAACTACTTTACTTCTATGCAATTGCTCGATTTCGAGCAACATGTACACTAGTATACAATCAAACAATGTCTTCAATGTAAGATTTGTGAATATATGAGGTGATGGTTTAGAATAAAATTCTTTGTGAAAGTAGTGTTTCAATGTGAGTGATAAA